CCAGCGACCAACTAATGTATTGGATCAGTGTTTTCATCTTTAGTTGCTATTACTTTACCGTACTGTAATCAACAAGTGCTTGGTTAGTTCGCAGCGTGGAGTCACAGATGACCATTTGTACTTTGCAGTGCAAATGTAAGCAATATTTGACCACCTTAGAGCCAAAATGTCGCGTTTTTATATTTAGAATTTTATGTATTACACATTAATCATAATGAAACAAACATGATGTACTCGTTGATACTGGCTAGTTTCTTTCTTAAAGTTTAATCGGTTGAAACTGCTCGACCTACAACTGACAATCGGGGTATTTCTTTCTTTTTGAAAAAAAAAACCCATCATGACCGATTTTCTGGCGATCCGGTCTGATTTCATTTTCTAGCAGGTTTAACCGAGTAATCCGAAAGCTGCTGGTCCCATGTCAGTCATTACTGACTATATTTTTTGGAATTTTTGTTAATTTTCGGTTTTAGGTCGATCATAGACTTTATGTAAATGGACATGAACATCTAAATTACTACGCTTGTATTACTCGGAGGAGACGGCGACATTTTATTCCACAAATAATCAAGAAGACTTATTTGGAAAACATGAATTTCTTTGCTGCTAGAAATGTGAACAAGTTTTGAGGATAACGTTAAGGAAGAATTATTTCAGTCATAAATATGAGAGTGCTGAGATAGGGAGAAATTTGGATTTGCTCCTACTAGTTCAATTTCATTAGTAGGCAATTGTTGGAAGCCACCGAATAGATTGTGAAATTCCGTTAAGAGCAAAGCAGAGTGGAGCCTTGATGATGCAGTAATCCTTGAATCCCCTGAATCCGCAGGTTTTTCGCGGGCTCGAATACTCCGAGCTTCAATTTCTGCCTGTGTCTTAGCACTCTTGTGGTTATAATACTCATCTAACCCTGCCGTCAAAGATGAGTAAGGAAAAAAAAATTGAATCAAACATGTCTTAAGAGTTTGGCTATCATCTTAAAGATATCGGTTACTTCCACATGAATATATCGCTTTTCCAACTTGACACTTGGGTGATGAATTCTTCGTAATTGTTTCATATTTGCTGCATTTATCAAATCGTAGAAACAGTTGTAGGAGTGGCAAATAGGATAGTACAGCAATCAGTCCTGATTTATCAGAAACTACGCCAGTCCGTATTATGCCTATCCTGCTAATCAACAGTTGTTCGTTCTTCTCAATCAGGCGGCGTTCTCATATCCTAAACATTTATGGATCATTCCGTCACATTTGAGCATTTTCGAGCGAGGATCTCAAAACCTTATCCCACACCTATCTGTGAATATGTGAGCGAAATCCTCGCTGATGATGATCCTCGTGTGCTAGGATCGATTTATGCAGAGTTCCCCCTAGACATTCTACATTTTGAAGTTTTTCTTCGTTCGACCTCTCCAGACAAACAGCGACGGCGTTCAAACAGAGTTTCTTTTACGATTTTCACTACGGCGAACGACCACCGTAATTTATGGATATCCGTATTTGATCGAAATTGAATACTTCGGCGACTCTGTCTATTGATTTATGGAGATGGCACATGGTTATCGATTGATTTATACAAGAAAAAATTATCTCTTGCGCTCAGTTTGATTGTACTAATTCCATTTACTCAGCGTAGTTCAAAAGTGCGACTACCTTTAAACATCGGCTTTCGTCAGAGCCCTATTTAGAGTTATATGAGAGCGATCAATCTTGTGTGGCAGAATTTGAAAAATCTTTTTTTTTTAAATTTTCTTCTTTGAGCCAAAGACAAGATGTTACATTGAATTTATCTCTTTTATTTTTATTTCAATTTGTGTCACATAAGACCGGTGACCGTTCTCATATAACTCTGAATATGAGTCTGACGAAGGCGTTGCCGCTGAAATGTTAGCCTTCAAATTTTGAGGACAAAGAAGTGTCAACTTCGTGCAAGTTCCAAATAAAGAAAAGGACAGTTTGTAAAAATTTTGCTTAGCATAATATATACATGTACTCTACGATGTATCGGCATTTCTCGTCACTCATTTGATCGCGATGCTCGCAAAGAACTACGCGCCATAAAGATCGTATTGAAGAAAAATGAAAATGACATAAAAACTGACGGTGAAGTAGGCGCGGATTGAATGACATGTGCCACAAAATTCATTAATCCACCACATTGTGGTTGGAAATTGTCGTAGTCGCAACGCTACAATTGATAGAATTGATTTACAAATCGTGTTTTCTGAAAAGTTTGTAAAGACTCTGTGATTGGATACAATAAAAACACGTGCTGAGCGACAGCATCAAGAACAATGAAATTACAATTGTGTTCCCTGTGGTTTCTCTACTATAACGATATTATTAAATCCAAAGGCGTAGAAAAACTGTTCCATCACTTGAACCATGCGTGGGAAATTTCACTTTCATTCATGTCTTTAATGCATCTCACAGTACGTTCTTTTCCACTGCGCAAATCCTAGTAGTTTTAACATTCAATTCGTTTTTCGCCTTCTTCTTGAAAGTCTTAGAATACTGGTTAAGCACTTATCCTCGCAGTATAGCGGATAGCCTGTCTGTGGCGTTCCATATGGCGTTCGTGGCTCAATTGAACCTTTCTATAGTCCTTCGATAGCCCTTCAAGATCTTTGTTCATGCTTGAAATGCTGCTGAAAAACTCACCAAATTTTGATATCCACACACATCTAGTCGCTGGCAATGCATTCGAATGGTGTCGTTGCCAAAGCTCTGCACGACTAGCACTTCGTCATTCTCACAGCGATACATCAAAGCTGTTGCTAACTTTCCTAGAGCAACCAGCACCACCCACCACATCACGCTGAAAACTTCTGGTTCTGAACAACTGAGCCCGAGCGAAACGCTTGAAATGAGCGAAAGACGGCATCGTACTCGTTAAGATCGTAGTAAAAGCCTTTGTGAGTGACTTCAACGACGTAGCTGCCTGTAGGAAAATACAAGGTTGACGTGGAAAAGAGCAATAGAAACAGTGAATCTTTCAAATAAAGAGATTGAATAAATCAATACTGTATCCTCCAAAGAAGCTGAACTATTAGCAATTCTTTTAAACACTTACAAGGAGAAAAAACTTCAAATCTTAATGCTCACATGTCCATTCCTACGAGTGTAATGTTATAAAATGTAAAAAAAATTAGTTTTGGCGACTGGAAAGGTTTACCTACCGATCTGAACCAACAAGGTGTTCGATAATTTTGTCTTTAATCAACAGTGGAAAATGAAGCTCAGTCAGGAATCGTTATTTTGTGGACGATACCTAGTCGCAGTGAGGCGAATTCCTTGGTATTTGGGAGTTCTGATTACTAGCACGGACGATCCACGACCACGGTGGAACGCTTATTTTTTGAGCTTTTGCCCATATAACAAATCATAAGGTAAAACTGTGCTGATACATGCTTAATTCCTCATATAAACAAGGGAATCAAGAGTTAAATAAGTAGAATGCTGCTTGTTTGCTCAATAATGGAGCAATGTCCATTAACATTAAAAGGGAACTACGATTCCCATTTATTGAAAAACTACGATAAAATATACTCCAGCTCAACATTGTTTGAGAAAAATGACACATATGTGAGAAGTTGGAATTCAGACTTCATATAAAAAAGGTTCAAAAAAAGGCGAAAAATTACAACGGGAAAGAGAGAAAAAGCGAACAAGATGCGAAAGGATTTTTCTGAGTGGCAAAGGTAAAATAAAGTTAGCCGTATGGAGTGAATAGAAATATAAGGCCTATCTACCACAATTGCTATCGGACATCAATGCGTGGATGCCCCATGATACTTGCGTTTGCACGAATTCATCTATCTCATTTCGTAAATTTCCATTAATCGAAGTGAAATTCACTAGAATCTACAAATTTGCTTGAGTGAAAACAGCTTTCAAAACTATTTCATAAAGAAAATTCTATTTTCTATTTTCATGCGGAAAGCAAGTGTTTTATTGCGATTTATGTAACGTTGAGATTCGTCTATCATCCAGCTTAGCGAGACAACGGCAGTCCGCCCCAATTATAGCGAAGGATAATGCCCCATTTGAATAATGCTTCGAAACTGAACATGCATGCAAAATTTGAAAAATGTAACTTTTCTTTGAAACCTTTCACAAAAGTGCATGTCAGTAACGTTGTAGGCAATAATGCCTTTGCATTCAACTGCTTTTATAGGCCTCGCTCAAAACAATACATAATCTCATATCATATCTTAAACCTTTCACGACATCTGATATGGCACTTATAAATTGCTATATACGCGTTTGTTTGCCTGATGAGGCTGCAAAGCCGAAATACGTGTTTAGCACTTTATAAGTGCCACAACAGACCTCTTAAAAGACTTGAGATATGTTATCAGAATACATGTCAGTTGAGCGAGGTCTACAAAAATAGTCAAATGTAAAGATATCACTCATTATACCACCCATGAGCGATCTACCGTTTGTCCCTGAAATGTCAGGGGATTTTATCACCTGACATGCTATGATTTGTTTTCGGCGTCGATTCCTCTATAAGTAGGGGTTCATCTCCCTAAAAGAGGTTAGCTAAACCAATGCGTACCGTGCTACTGATAAAGCTGCAAGGCTAAATACGTGTTTAGCACATTATAGATGCCATAGCAGACCTCATGAAAGGCTCAAGATATGTCATCAGATTATACTTTGCAAATATTTGGCCCCCGCAATGACTTACCGTAACCCAAATGTATCAACTCGCTGTGTTCTATTTTCTTAGATAAGTTCGTTGATAGTGTACAATGCCGAAGCGACGGGGGGTTTGATTTGGCGAGGTTGCAGAATGGAACCGAAGGCCATGTGGGCTGCAGGGTGCCCTCGGCACCTGCCCTACACCGACGTCACAAATAATGTTACGAGGAATTATGATATTATCAGATTGATAAAACGAGATCTTTCCATAAGCACAATTAAGCAAATCTTGAACGCTCTTAGCTGATAGCTAACATAATGATGTTGAAGAATGAGTGGTGGCGCAAATGTGCCTCTGTGGTGTAGTGGTAGAGCACGCGTCCCCGCATACGATGAAATGCGGGTTCAATCCTCGCCTGACGCCGTGTTTTTGCTCACCACTCAATTTTTCTAGGAATATAAGTAGCTATACTCAAGCATCTTGATATTCACATGGAAACTTTCAAAGAAAGTTTCCTATTTTACCTTTTTCCAATTGGCATAGTCTATAAATCTATTGAAAAACTATGGAAGCTAATAAGAGCAAATTAAAAACGAAATAATCAAACGGTAGGACAAAAAATAGAAGCAAAGTTGAAAGATTGTCCGTTTTACTGAGGATAATCTCCTATATGTAACGTTTTTCATACAGCAGAAGAAACAAGAGCGTTAGAATGTATCGACCCACAAAATCAGAACAAACTAGAAAAGAGGATTCCGTCTCAGTTTCTTATTTTCAATGGATTCCACACGGACATGATGTCTCAGTTGGAATTATCCTACCGATCTAAGAGACAAAAGTCGAAACCTTTAGTCTAGAATGATCTCTATGCAACTGAGACAAAATAGGTGCTTTGATATCTCAAGGAATGGATCATTACCTCTGTCATGCCGCCCCGTTGATCGTTGAGTGACTCGAGCGGACACTAAGTGAGCCTTCTATTTTTCACTGTTGCGTGCAAGAGTACCCCCGTGATTCGTTCACCTCAATGTCTTCCTTCTAAGGTTCTGAGAAATTTTAAGCGTCAGAGAAGACGAGAAGGGAGAGGAAGGTAGGGGGTGCTCTTTCTGCTGTTTATTTGACATCCCGAGAAGTTCAGCCGGTAACGGCTCTTGTCCGTAGGTTTTTGCCCCCGGTTCTTGCTTAAATTCATTGCGCACGAGGCTCTGTCTTATTTGCGATAGTTCGGCGTTTAGAACGGTGTCTTGGTTTTTGATTGGTGGCAGTCGAAATATCGGATCCTTTCCTTAGTTGCGATACCAGATACTCCTAACATCGACCTTTCGACTGCGCACTCAATAGCGCTAGGTGATCTTTCATCTTGCTTACGTAACGATCAGGTTTCCGACGCATGCGTAAATCACCTCGGAATAACAATGAGACGCCGCCAGCTCCGACTCGCCGCTCGGGCATCATCAACCACTCTTCACTTCGGACTGCTTCTCGCGTGCGGCGAAACACGGCTGATAGCGTGTCTCTGTCGTACTCAAAGGATTAAAACAGGAAGATTCAACTATTTCAAGTGAATCAAACGCCTTCTTCAAGGCGATAAAGATGAAGCACAGCAGCCTTTTATACTCTAGCGGTACGTAACTGAGTCTTGCTATAGAATAACTTGAGCCAGCAGCAGATAGGGAGCAATTGTGGTGATAGTCGCTGATGTGGTGGAGGTCTACCTTTTCGAAGAATAACTTGCTCTTGCTAGTTCTCTATCATTTAGCGAAACTATTTTCTAGGTGTTCAAAGTGTTCCTTTTTTAGCTGAATATGGGCGATAGTGAGTTCGGTGCTCAATTGCAGAGGCGGAACCCATCGCGGAGAAGAACATGGTTTGAGAAAAAATCAAATACGAAATTTCTATCGCAAAAAATTAATGAAGACTTCTCTTAATGTCATCATTAATTATCGCAGATGAGCTTTTTCCTAAGTCGTGTATATGGGGCGACCACTCACTACGACAAGAATCCGAATTCAAAGATGCTTTCAATTTCTTGTCTACAAGTGATTAGGCACGCGTTTTTAGCAAAAATCACCTTTATTTCAAATTAGAGATCTCAGAAGAACCTTAACAAGACAGAATATGAAGTCTTTCTATTTCTGATTGGAGTCGTCTTATTCCACGTGTGATATCCATAAACAGAATAACGAATCTTGAATTGAAAACGACAAAGCCGAATGTCACAAATTAGTAGACGCCACTAACGCAGAAAATCTTCCATCTAGATGAAATTTAAGTAATGCCGGCCGAAAAAACGAAGAGATGTGAACGAATAGAAGCATTGTTTCGTGTAACACGTGTGAAGCTTGAAGTCTTTGCTAAAACATTCTTCGCAAAAAGGTGTAAAATCAAAACTGCTAGTCACATGGTGGATAGTCAACACAAAAATTAGAGTAGTTAGAGAAGCTCTGCAATATCACAAGCAAGATCTGGTTAGTTGCTGGTTCGGCTATGCTTATAATATGAATTAGTTCTGGATCAGCGAGGTCTCACAGCCATCCGGACTTTGAAAATGGTACCACACTAACCAGAAAAAGTTACTTCCTATTCACAAAGGTTGGAGACTGCATGCGATGAGGATTTAGCAATGCTCTAGCAAGATCATCTCTGATTTCTAATGAAATCAAACCCAAAGGTATCCCAAGTGAACGAAGAAATATTAGTTCCTTTTTCCATATTCTCAAACAGGTCTTGAATATGAGAGAAAGAGTCGAATATATGAAGTTTTGCGAGTCGAACAGTATGAAGGCAAGTCATTGGTCATTTTTCATCTAGCTCAACAAGATTAAGAAAAGGCTGCCATTTGTTGTACCTCCAAGTGAATTCATTCTTGATGAAAATTTAGCTTAGTGTTTTATTACTGCGGTTCACTGAAAGGAAGCAAGCGCAGCAATCAAATGAGTTTTTTTCTCGTAAGGAAGGTTGTTGAACTGAAAAATTTTTGTGGCGATTATTAGACTCATCTAGATTGCTCTGTTAGACAAAACGTCAAGATTAATGAGCGGAAATGTTGTCAAAGTTCAATCTGAATGGATTTTAGGGCCAAAAAATCATCGACCGTTTTCATTCTTGAGGGACTTAAGTTCTCTTGTAAGTTGCTCTATAATACTTGAAGCATATCAAATATTCCAATGATATTTCCTAACAATTCATATAAAAGGGTCATGCAAAAGCAAAAGGAAACATAAAGGCAAGGCTCAAAACATGTTATATCCTTATTAGATAGTTGTTGCTTGAGCTAGGTCTATGGGAAAGCGCTCGAATGAAGAGGTATGATCCACTTTGAAAGCCATAAACACGACTGCCGGTCACTACAATGCCAGGTAATTTCATCATCTGACTTACGGTGATTTATTATTCGGCGTCAAATCCTTGATAGAGAAGTATAGTCTCAAGAGATCGCCTGAACCGAGAGACTGTGCTACTGATGAGCCCTGGTAGAACGAAACAGGCGCCTGTATAGCACTTAAGCATGGCTCAAAACATGTTATATTCCTATCAGGAACATAGGGAGAAATGTTTATCGACAAAAAAATGCTTAACAAAGGGAGCCTTGAAATATTATGCGAAATTGTAAAGATAAATCATCTTGTACTTTTGGAATCCCCTTGAGAAGTCATCTTAGAGCACAATGAAGGATTTAGCGCACTTGCTGTTAGTAAGCGGTGCTCAAATATTTAATGTCCAATTTTTTCTTCCATTTTACATTGCTAAACTATATCAAACCCATTTAGTTCCTATAAATTAATCGCTTTGAGGATGTTGCTGCTTCACGAAAATCATGTGAGGGAATAAAAGTGAGCAGAGAATCATATGACGAAGCATAATTTAACTGCACGGATTTCCTATCTGAATAATCCGAAAACAAGTCAGACAAAAGTGGGAGTGGAATCTGCATAATCTAGCGTAGAAAAAATTAATTGTCATAAAGTCTCCAACTAGAATAGATCAACTTTTTCATTGAAGAATAGTCGTCACGTATGAATTGACGACATTGAGTGTCATTTGAAATGTCGTTAGTGACCCGTGCAAAAGTCTGTACGGCTGGTCTCTGTTCGATAACTGGAAGACTTGAAAAGAACGAAAACGGCTCCAAAGAATGCGATACAAGCAATACGTCAGTCACTGCTGTAATAAGTAAATTATGCTTTTGACAACTCCGTCTCTGTTCGGCAAGAAAACGATGAGTCGAAGATATACGTGGCATACACAACAATTCGTGAGAGCCTACCAGTCTGGAAGTTTGGTATTTTCATACTCTCAAACAAGTCTATTATTGATCTGTCCACTCCGTGGAGATCTAAAAAAGGGAATTTTTCCAGACGCAGGATCGAACTAGAGATTAGGTGTCTCTGGCATGGCACCCACTGCGTCAGAAATGCCACAGCACTTATGCGAGATCGAGAATTTCACGTGCACACACTTTTCATCACTACTCAAATATTGCGGAAAATTTTCTATGTATAAAGGAAGTTTCGCGAATATGTTGTGGGAAGATGGTTATCGCAGTAGTTACAATGATAAGCACAAATGGGACAGAAGCGCACTTATAGCTTCAAAAGTTGACACGAAATTTTACAAGTAGAAAATCTGCAAGTATTCTAGGCAATCACGATTTTTTATTACTATTTTACATAATGGCAGGCTGTGACCGAGTCAGTAGCGATGCTCGGCGCGGCTCGACTTGAAAATTATACCACAGCCTTAAAAACTCCCGGCAAGCATCAACGAATGCCTTACGGAGCCTCCTGACCTGGCAATCCCCGATATTGCAAGGAGACATGCTCTACCATTATTCTACGACCTTCGTGAAGAGGAGGATATCATTAGTAAGCGAGAAAACGAAACAAATGCTAGAAGTACTGGGGCCCAAAAAGTAGGAAAGAAAACTGTGTTACGAGTTAAACAAAGTGAAGGTGAAAAGTATTTTACACAAACCGTCATCACATTTTACTGTGTGATTCCAACACATGTTGTTTTCAATACGCTTCTTAGCATCATCCCTTACGAAAGTGGTGGAAAATTTCGTTTGCTGTTTCAACTGCTGCTTGAGGATTTCTTGTCCCTACGATTATCGTAGAATGGTGGTCGGGAAGATTCTCCTAACAACTTTGCACAAAGCTGAGCTAATGCTTCCCCAAGACGCTTGTTAAATGATTAGAGAGTGCTAGGAGAAACGCCGAGCTAACACCTTGTTTCCTACTATATTTCTTGGCCCGTATCGTTAATCACTGCGCTATCCGTCTCCTATATTTACGATAAATTAAGAAAAACAAAATGGCAAGAAGAGATCTTTCTCGATGGTATTTGAGTACCTCATCTTTGTAGACGGCTGCGCTTTCCATTGCTTTCAAGCTTTTTTTTTTCGTAATGGGTTCAACAGTGAA